GGCGTAGCTTGATACAACCACAGAGTTCGAACCATGAACATTTGGGGCAAGTGTGGACACTACATTCAAGCTTGATACAGCTCTTAATTTGGATTGTGATTAAATATTTGACACAGCATAGGTTTCTTACACAGAATGAATGTGGCCAAAAGAACTGAAAAATTTAAAATTGAACTTTTACATGTAATGGTCCAATATCAAAAATCTAAATACACAGTTAGATTCAGCATATCCAAGTACACCAAAAATTTAATTTATTTATTTATTAATGGACAATATTAGCTAAGATTTTAAAGGGGTTCGCTTCATAAAAAAAATATATACATATATAATAGAAAAACAAAGGATATGGTGTATCTATCCATGACACAAAATCATTACATGCACAGCAAAAAAAAAAAAACACGCAATAAGAAAAGGTACAGCGCATTTATTGTTGTTTTTCATCTCAAAGTCACAGTGAGGCCTTCAACACGGAGCAAAAAAACAAAAAAACTTTCACTTGACTGCAAGTTTTAGACGGCCCCTAGCACCGGCTTGTGCGTGATTCTTTGCAAACAAAATTTTGGATAGACTTTGTAAGATGTAACACCACCTAATTGTGCCCGGTCAAAAAAGAACATACTGGATAGTAGTAAATATTTAAAACAAAATAGTTCCTACGCATAGGTGTAAATCTAAATTTATGTAGCATATATTTTAGTAATTAAGGTATCAGATGAAAGGTGAAGGACTGGTGATCCTTGTAGAACACATAATTTACTGATAATTTTGAATAATACAAAAATGTATGAATGAATTCTAAAATTGAGGGCATTTATTGCCTGTTTCTCAGAAGTGCCTTGTTTGGTGTATCCAAAATTCCGGTAACCAGTGCAGTACGGTCTGATGTATGAATACAGGTATATTGATCCCGCTTCCATAAAATGTTTTGAAGCTAAAACTTTAACGTGGAAAGGAATGAGGACCAAGAATATGTGGTGTGCGTCTTATTAAAATTTTAGTACATAATAATAGCATTATAGCTATTTATAGTAATAGTAATAGCATTATAATAATAATAATAATAATCATAGCATAATAATAGCATTATAATAATAATAATAATAATAATCATAGCATAATAATAGCATTATAACTATTAATAGTAATAGCATTCAAAAAATTGATTCATACAGAATAACAAACAAACCTACCACAAAGTTCTTCATAAAAATTACCAAAAAAAAAGTAAAAAAAGGCAATTTCCACAATATCATTTATCATTAATACGATGTCTTTAAAAATCTATAAAACTTACCTTTAATTTTTTTTCAAAATATCTAATAATGAATAGTAAATTTCAAACTATATTTATACAAAATTTCTTCTCTAAAACTTTAGAATTTGATGCTGTATCTGTTTTTAGCTATGAATTTACATGTACTTGCAATTTCTATTAATTGTGCAATACAGTTCTGAATTTGGAATATTTGACACAGCATAGGTTTCTGACACAGAATAAATGTTGTCTAAGAACTTAAAAATTCGAAATATGGACATTTACCTATTATGGTCCAATATCCAAAATCTAAATAAATGGTTAGATTCAGCATACCAAAAGAACCCAATATTTTTATGTTTTAATGAAATCAAACAAAGTTTAATTCTGGACCCCAATGTGGACCAATTTGATATCGGGACCCAAAATCAAAATCTAAATATATGGTAGGTTTCAGCATATCAAAGAACCCCAAGAATACAATTTATGTTGAAATCAATCAAAGTTTAATTTTGAACCCTTTGGACCTTGTAGATTAATGTAATGAACCTTGTTTGTGCATGTTCTTTCATCGGATACCTTTTCAATGAATCCTCTTTGTTCTTGGTCTGTAATTATCTCACCATACTTTCGGAACATCTCGGGATCCTTCTTTATGCGACGAATAACGCTTTCCGTTCTGCGTTTTGCGATGTCTTCATTTGTCGGTAGCTCTGGCGTATTCTCTCTCCATGGTAATTTCGTAATATACTTATCATTTTTCTTCGTAATGGAGGTTTGTATGTAATTTTCAATTGATTCAGCCAGTTCTGGATCATTTTGTTCTTTAGCGTCAATTCCCAACGATTCAAGCTTCCAAAATTTTTCAAGATCGCACTCTTCTTGTTTGTGACATACTAGTATATTCATCATTGAGAAAGATGCATTACTGGTTCGTGTAGGGACAGGACCGGAAAGTAAATATCCAATTTTCGAGCTAACTGCGGTTGGACCGTTTCCACGCACTATTTTGTCTTGAACTATGTCCCAGTCAAAATCACCTCCAATTAATAAGGATATTTCAAATTGCTCTCCTTCCATGACTGGGTGTGCTAATTGTAGACCACGTAAATATGGAAAATTCTGCGTTATTCTTATGTTGTGACTTTGAAGTGGTGAAGCAATGGTTGGTACAATTAAAACTTTAATAGGGATTAATTCTCCTTCGGCAGACTTTAGATTAATTGTTGTTTTGTCAAGATTTCTCACCTTTTTTGTAGTGCTTCCAAATGTAGCTATACTCAATGTTTCAGACCCCTCTTTTTTAATGTCCAATTTAGCTGCTAGTTCTTCGGTTATAAATGAGCGCTGAGCTCCCTCGTCAAAGAGTATGCTTGCATCTATACATGTATTTTGGTGAACGACTGGACTGAATGCTGTTTTCAATAAAACAGTGGACCTTTCTTCGCTAGCGGTATACAACATAGAAGTGTCTCTGTCTACTTTATTTTGCGATTGTTCAGTTTCAATAGGATGTTTATTTGAGTACGAGTTCTTTTTGCATAATGAAGAGTGATGCTTCCGGTGGCAACACTTACATGTATTCTTGGATTTGCAATCGGCTATCGGTTATTCAATAAACATAATCGTACATCACAATAACGCGACGTCACAAATATAGCGGCCGCACCGCAAAAGGGTACGTTTAACGTGAGCGCAATTCTTAACAGACCTTAATGTGGATCAATTTAAAAACTGGGCCCAAAATTCAAAATCTAAATACACAGTTAGATTCAACATATCAAAGAACTCCATATATGCATTTGCTGTTGAAATCAAACTAAAAAAAGTTTAATTTTGGACCTCAATGTGTGAACAATTTGATATTTAGACCCCAAATCCAAAATCTCAATACATAGTTAGATTCAGCATACCATAGAACCCCAAGAATTCATTATTTTATGAAATCAAACAAAGTTTAATTCTGGACCATATGGACCTCAATGTTGACCAATTTGATATTGGACATTCACCTATTATGGTCGAATATCCAAAATCTAAATACACGGTTAGATTCAGCATATCAGAGAACTCCAATAATTCAATTTTTTTATGAAATCAAACAAAGCTTCGTTTTGGACCCTATGGACCTCAATGTGAAGCAATTTGATATCGGGACCCAAAATTCAAAATCTAAATACATGGTTAAATTCAGCATATCAAAGAACCCCAAGAATTCATTTTTTTTATGAAATCGAAGTTTAATCTTGGACCCTTTGGACCTCAAAGTGGACCAATTTGATATCGGGGCCCAAAATCCAAAATTTAAATACATGGTTAGAAAAATGCTTGTTTTGGCCCAATTTTGGCTGCTGTTTCCTAAACAGATAAGACAATAACCCCAAAAATCAATCCCAACCTTCATTCTTTTGGTATGGAACCTTGTGGTACAATTTCATAGAGATCTATACACTAATACTCAAGTTATTGTCTGGAAACCAAATGTCTTGGGACGACGTCGACGACGCCAACAGCGTCATACCTATCATAAATGTTTTCGGTAGTATAAAAACCAATAAAAAATAAAATAGTTAATAAAATAAAGTAAATGAATTACACGAAATTGATTGACAATGATAAAAAATAGAAAATGAAACATGCTTTAGCAAGAACCTACCACCATGTGCTTCGCAAGGAACCTGAGGCAGGCAAAATTTTGACGTCTCATTGAAAATTGTCTTGAAATCCATCAACAACTGTTCGTATCCCAAAATAAATTGTAAAAATATTTCTGCACGTTCTTTTCTTGTTCGCGTCTCCTTTTCATCAATACAGGCTATTTTGAATCCATGATATCTCGGCCTATAACAAAATCGGACTATAACAAACTCGGCCTATAACATAATCGGCCTCCCAAAATCGGACTATAACAAACTCGGACTATACCAAACTCGGACTACTAGAAGAATATAAGTATAATGTTTTATTTTGTTTTTATTTGAAATTAATTATCAATACTTAATTTGAAATTAATAATGATTTACAATTAATTAAGTAATTTATTTTGAACATTTTAGAAGCGAGTAATATAAATGACGTTAACAAGATATGTATAAAAAGAAAATTAAGAATACATTCATTTAATAATGAAAATCTACCACTGATTTGTATTTCTGTATTATAATTTGTAATAATGTCCCTCTCAAAATAATTTATCATATGCATATCTTAATTGATTCAACTGGAAATATGACATCATGCCACGTGTATTGTTGACACCTTTTTAATCACCATAATTTAAACTAACAACTGACACGTGTACTATTGACACCTATGCAATCACCCAAGTGAGAACAAAACTACCTGTAATTACATGAAATTGTGATTAACTAAATATCCAATATACGAGAAAATCACAATAATATTTCAAAAAGAAGTTAATTATCCTCATTCAAACATATCAAATTCAACTCATATAACACATATTTAATATGATGGAGCTAAGTTTTATTTTAATACATTTCTATACAATGTTTTTTTCAAAAATATTTATCATAATCTCAAAATTCGTATATAATTCTTATATATAAAGTTTGTTTTTTATTAAAGTGAGAAAAAAAAACCCACAAAACAATCTACTAATCGTAGTCCGAGTTTGTGCAATATATTTCCGCATATAAATAATGGTAGGCCGAGTTTGTTATAGTCCGAGTTTGTGATAGTCCGAGTTTGTGATAGGCCGATTTTGTTTTAGTCCGAGTTATCCAGCAGCGGCTATTTTGATGAAGTCAGGGACAATAGAATCTTTTCCATGGAATGTTTTCTGAATCATCTTTGTTTCTATTTCATCTAATAAATTTTGATAGCATTCAACAACAGTTCGACGAAAGCACTCTGAAATTAATCATTGAAGTTAAAGAAATATACAATATAAAAATTACCGTAATTTATAAATGTAAATCACAAATTACTCACAATATTATTAAATTATGCACATTCTAGTGAAGAAATACACGTAAATAACAAGAGTCAGGTTTTGAAATCGAACGATGTACAATGAACCTGGTGAGGCTCGTGAAGGCAAACACACTTGGTTCGTTCGATATATTGCATGCATGTTCAGGACGAGAACAAATTAACAATACATACAATAGATAGATCCTGTAACAGGGGTCGACGGGATGAAAGGCGGGGAATTTGGAATTCGACTGGAAAATCAGGGTAAATTGAAATTAAAGCGGCTGAAATTTTGCGCTGCAAAAGGCCACCAACGGAACCCTCGAAGAGTTGAAGGGTTTTAAACCTGCAGGGAGCGTGGCACTTTATCTCTATACGAGGCATCGGATTTAACGTCCTTCTTCTGACAGAACGTGACTGTGAATTCATACTTCCCGCATAACCAAAGAGTTTTACTGGAGGTCGGAAGACCTAGAGTTCCCTAGTCAATCTTGGGGTCTCCTTAATCTAGTTATCATTGTCAGCCTTTCGGAAAAAAAAAGATTTCCTCATTTTTAACAAAATATTTAAACATTGCAAACAGAAAAAAAAGTAATATCAAGTTACCTTGAATACTAATTGGGAGACTAAGCTTACCTGTACAAATTATAATTACTGTTTGTTTTGTTTACGCTTAATTCTATTCAGACACTTCCTTGAATGCCAACATATTTTCGGTTCGTTACATTTGCGCGCATTACCATTATATTTGCGCGCATTACCATTATATTTGCGCGCATTACCATTATATTTGCGCGCAAAAATCGTTACGTTTGAGCGCAGCTTTTGATCACATTTGCGCGCATTCTTTTACAATTAAACTCAGGTAAATACAGGTAGATAATACGTATTTATTTTTTTAATCAAGGAGTCTCCTTTTTGATCTAACCATTATTTTCGGGCAGGATAAGACGGTTTTATTGTGCACAAGCACGTAGTCCTGGAAATATACACAGATAAAAATGTAAAAACATAGTAAATTTAAGGGCATACGATACAGTAGCAGGGGCAGATAATAACATTTTTAAAACTTTTCGTGTCGTTTTCGCGACGTTGTTAATCAGAACGTTGTAATTTCGCGATGTTTCTAATAAGAACGATTACATTTCGCGACGTCGCTTTAGATGTAGTCACATTTGCGGAAATCCACTGACGTCATAATCCCGATTGCGCGAATTTGAAAAAAGTACCTGCAATGAAAATCGGCAAAATCACGATAATTATTCCTTTATTCATTAATAAGGAAGTCAACAATATTAACTTCGAATGGGAAAAAATCAAATCCACATTCTTTATTTTGTATGTCTGTTATTTCATATAGAAAATGAATAAGAGATATGAAACACATAAGACATCGATGAGAGAGAAACCCAACTACACAAAAAAAATTTTTTATATAGTTACTTCACCATTTGGCTAACTCTAAATCGTAATGAGAATTGTACGGATAAATTTAACAGAGACTATCAACAAAATGACAAAAAAACGTAATAAATAATGACAGCGCATCTTACTGCTCCTGACTTTGAAAAGGTACATTAAAGAGTTTAAAAAACATTTTTAGAATTTAACCCGTGGAATATATAAGTGTATGAAGGAGAATTGTCAGTTAAAATGACTCAGTTATAAGCCCCGTATCATAGACCAAAAACAAAAACGCACCCGTTGATGTGCTAAGCATATCCTCTGTGTACATATTGAGAGAGAAAAATCGGCACACAGGAATTAGGTATTTGACAGACCAGAGTTGCAACTAATTGATGTTAAGTTACTGACCAAATACGAAGTCTTTTTGTAAATTAGTTTCTCTGATAAGAAACAAAATATTTGTTGGACCAGACAATCAATGTGGTTGCACTCACTCCTAGATTGAAGGTATAATACAGACAAGTAATTCAATGATTATATGTACCGTAATAAAAAAAAAACCTGAAGACAAGCTTAGGTAACTTATCTATTAATACAGAATCATTAAATTTCATGCTCTAATATCGACTGCTGTATGGAATGTTATACTACACTGTAATTGACTAAGCTGACCCGATTTAATGTGGGTATGATTTTGTGTTCATGTAATGCCTATAGAGTAGGTCGTTAGTTTTCTTGTTTGAATTATTTCACATTTTCATGTCGGGGCTTTTTAAAGCTGACTATACGGTGTGGCTTTTTCTTTTTCTTTTTTTTATTGTGTTGAAGGCCGTAGGGTGACCTTTAATAGCGTTTATATTCGTCATTTGAACTATGGTTGATAGTTGTCTCTTTTGCAATCATACCAAATGTCCTTATTTCTATATCATCCCCCTAACTTTATAATTTTGTCATGTCGGGGCCTTTTGAATAATTAAAACTATGTTCAAGCTGTGTTGTCTACATGAATTGTATGACTAATGTCGGACAGAGAGGCAAATTAATTTTTTTTATTAAGGTCAAGTTACAGTAAATGAACGCCATCTAGCGGATTCCGCGAAATGTTGCGACGTTTTGTACGAGTTACGTCCCATTGACCAGATTTAGCAATGTTGCAACCGGCGACTTTCTGACGAGACAACGTTATTTGATGGAAAGTATGTTACTTCTAGGAGAATGAAATTGTTTGCTAAAATTGAAGATGAAGAAATGCTACAGAATTTTGAAAATTAATATGAATATAGTCAAGAAGACTATCTTCAAAATGAAAATAGGGAACTTGACTTGCGTCAGGGAGGTAGGGTGGTAACGTTTGAGCTTGGATATCTCGCCGACCAGTTAAAACAGTGTAAAAACTGTAGCTCACCACTATTTCTACATAATTGTGATGAGGAAAAACAGTGTGATCTCGGAAGTATTCTATATGTAGTATGTTAGAAAACGTCCCTACAGAAACCCTATAAGGCTATATTCACTGGGAAAAGATATCGTCCAGCAGAAAATAAGAAGAAGGGGATGCAAGTTTGGGACATTAATACTAAACTTTTAGTCTTGGTAAGATATCCCCTATTTTTGAAAATAACCACACCAGTCGGAACAAGTAAAAATATTTTCTAATTCCAGAAAAGGGAATGAACCACATACAATTCTCAGCTGCGTCAGTCAGTCTTGAAACAGATGACACAAAACGATTTTAAATTAACATTAACCCTCTTTACGATTGCAACAATCATTTAATATTTATACATCACAATTGCTAAGACTAATATAACACATGATGATAAACAAAACGTTATAGAGATTCATCGCTACAGTTTGTTTTCTAACGATTTTTTGTAATGGTGTTTTCTTTCACGTCCGCAATTTTGTGAAAAGTTTTCGAAGCTAAAAATAGAACACAAATCCTTAAATAGATACATGTATAAATAGTATATGGTTTGATGAGTTATACATGGTATATTTTTCCTAATGAAAGAACATCCAGTGGATCCTAAAAGAATTTTCTTAGTACTGATTAGTATTGTTATTTCCTCAAGGTAATTGATATATCAATGGTTAAAAAAATAACTGGAAACAAATAAAAATTTGTAGCCTGAAAGTTGCATCTCAAATATAGAATAGAACTGTTCTAAATTTAGCTGCGGAACCGTAGCTCTTAGGTCCTTGTGTTATTTTTTTGACTTTTTGCGGACCATCTATCTAAAAAATAACATAAGGACCTAAGAGCTACAGTTTCGCATCTATTCTCAATTCTATTTCACTCATACAACTTGAAGGTTAAGAACGAGATTCTTTCGATCATGTCGATATCAAACTACTAATATATACATGTGTGTGTATCTACTAAAAAAATATGCACACACACCTTCAGTACCCAAAGTAAAATGAAAAAAGTACTTGAGTAATACAGCAACCAGACAATAACACCAGGCCACAAAAAATAGAAAAGGAAAAGACATCTGATGATGTGCATGTTGTGCATTTGTGCAGATGGAATTTAACATGTTAAAGACAAAATTTTCAGTCATGTTTCAGTCTGTGTGTGGTTGCTTTTTTTAGGGTTGATACGCTTTTCAAGAGCTTCATTAATATAAATTGTTTTGTTAAACATAAGGCCGTTAGTTTTCTTGTTTGGATTTATTCACATTTTTCAAATCGGGGTTTTTTATAGCCGACTAAACGACATAAGTTTTATGTCTTTTTTAAGTCCGTTGTCTACGATAGTCTGTAATTGTTTATATCCACATCATGTGAACTTTGGTGGATAGTTGTTTCAATGGCAATCAGACCACATCACCTTGTTTTTATATTTATTGGTGTCAAATACAGTTGCTCTCTGATGCACATTAATTTATTGTCACATATAATAAGATTTAAAAGGGGTTTGCAGAATAAAAGATAATGGCGAATTGAAAATTGAATAGAGAAAAGAGCCAAAAAATAAATAAAGGATAGAGAAGAATGGTTCGCAAAAGTATAAAGAATAACAATGGAAAATAAAATAATAAGTTAATACATGTGTAGTGGTTAAAGACATGAACCATGTACAGAATAAAGCAATCATGCAATATTAGAAGAATTTTACAATAAAATCATTTATTGAGGATTAAACAGAATAAGCGTTATATTCAAAATTAAAGAAATTTGCCATTAAAATTATTAAAGAATACAGAAGTTAAGGAGACACACTTCATATAGACCCTTAAGTTAATCGTTGTATTATCTCGGTGTTGTTGGTAATAAACAAAAAAATCACTAGTCAAATTATGCAGAGGGTGTTGTATTTGATGCACTATATTCTTATCTTCCCGTTCCTAATGTATCTTCCATATTTATTGAAGTTCACATTGATCAAAGCCTTAGTTTAGTATAGTTTCATGTTAATACTATACCCCCACTATTTTGTTGCATTTTGTGTATCGTGTACTGATTCTATATATACTTCGAGCATATACGTGCTCACTTTTGGAGTAATCTTTAACGTTTTTATT